ATCACATGACTCCACCATGGAAAAAATAAATGCCTACTTATAGTGCCGAGCTCTCAATGCATGGTTATGACAGGAGGTGCCACATGCATTGCTAGTCAATGGTAAAAGTTGTTGGTTGGCTGGGTGGGTAGTTGTCTCCTTCTAATAAAATATGCTGAAGAAGGAGTCAAGTTCATCTGTTTTGGCCACACAAACAGCAATGGATATGTGTTCCATCTCATAGAGTGGGCTTTAACTTGAATCAAATATTGGTTGGTTATTTATTCCTGCGAGATTTTTGTCCTTATTTGACCAACATATATTGCAGGCAGGCCACCATAGTAGAACAAAGGGTTTGTAGCTGGGTCGGTGTTTACCTTTCTGCTGTGGTAGCCTGCACAGTACCTTCCAGTACCATGAATACTAGCCAATAGAAAGGGAGGTGCTAGGAAGGCACCAGCTGGGCTTTTCTGTGTTCAGTGAGTTGTATAGGTGTTATCTTCAGCAGCGTCGCCTTGCTGTGGAGAGGAGCTAATAGTTGTTTGAAAGTTCCCATGGAACTCCTTTGGCCAAAAACTCAGATGTGATTTATTCCTGGTGCTAGAAGCTTCTTTTGGTGAGGAGAGATGTCCAATTAGAGAACAGTCTCCCCTGATATTTGGGGATTTCATTTAGATTGTATATATTATATGAAGCATCTACTATATTAGGTTTCCATACAATGCCACAAATGGCTTAGTTTTAGCTGTCCCTCACCATATTCCCTCCCTTTCCCCCTTTTCCTTGCCCCTTCCCTCCTTAATTCTCCAATTCTGATCCCCGCCCATCAACAATCCATAACTATCTATTCCTTTTCCCCTTCCTAGAGAGACCTATTCACCTCCCCACCTCCAGAAGCTTACTCTCTACCTGACCTTTGTGGTTATATGGATTGTAGCTTGCTTATCAAAGACCTAACATCTAACATTCACATATAATCAAATACATACAATATTTGTCTTTCTGACTTACCTCAGGATGATTTTTTTCTAGTTCCATCCATTTAATTATAAACTTCATGATTTCATTTTTTAAACAACTGGGTAATATTCTTTTATGTAAATATGTAAATATTTTTCTATTGTGTAAACATTTTCTTTATACATTCATCTATTGATGAACATCTAGGTTGTTTCCAATTTCTGGTTATAATAAATAGAGCAGTAATGAGCATGGAATCTCTTTGATATGATGAAGCATCCTTTGGGTATATGACCAAAAACGGTACAGTTGGATCTTGAGATAGACCGATTCCCATCTAACTGATGACCACCCACACAGATTTCCATAGTGAATACAAGTTTTTACTCCTACTAACAATGAGTGACTGTTCCCCTTACTCCACCTACTCGAGAGCCTGGGCTGTTATTTGTTTTACTGATCGTAGAGCCTGCAAGGTATCAGATAAAATCTCAAAGTAGCCTTGCTTTGCATTTCCCTGATGAAAAGGATGTTGAACATTTCCTTAAGTGTTTCCTAGGAATTTGAATTCCCCTTTTTGAATATTCTCTGATTAGGTCTGTATCTCATTTTTAATTTGTGTTACTTGTTCCTTTTTAACATTTTAAAAAATGTATTCTTCTCTTATATATTACCTCCCAACTGCAGTTTCCCCCTCCCTCATCTCCTCACAGTCTCTACCCCATCCACTCCTCAGAAAAGGGCAGCCCCCCCCCCCGTGGATATCAACCAAACGTGGCATATCAAGTTGCAGTAAGGCTAGGCACTTCCCCTTATATTAATGAGATGAGGCATGAGTTACTTGTTTCTTGGTAACTAGTTTTTAAGTTCTTTATATATTTTTAATATTAGCTCTATCAGATGTATAGTTGGTAAAAATCTTTTCCTATTCTGTAACCTCTTACTTTGTTCTAATAATGGTGTCCTTTGCAATACAGAAGCTTTTCAGTTTCATCAGGTCTATTTCTATGGCCTAATAAGGTGCCATCCCTAGCTGATAGACATATTTAACTTACTAATCTATAAAATGTGATAAAACACAGCTTAGGGCCACAATCAAAATAACCTTAAGTAGCATTTCTGTAAGCATTAAAAAGAAATAGAGTTTTTAAATTGTAGTTTAGCTTTTTTAGTGAACTAGAAGCATCATGTTATAATCTTGAGATGAACAGAGTCATTGGATGTTGATTTCCCCTCTGCCTCTGGTGTATGATGCGGCAAAGGGTACAGAGAAGCTTGTGTGGACCCCAGCAGAAAAAGGTAGGCATTAACTTGGAATGTGAAATGCTCCCTGTAGGCTTATGATGGTCGTGATTGGGTAGGCAGTGGAGCTTTGAAAAGGTGAGACCTAGCTGAGAGAAGTAAATGGCGACATGACATGCCTTGAGGTTGTAGTCCAGCTTTACTTTGGGTCCTGACTTAGGCTTCTTGTCTGCAGCAACAATGTGACAACAGCTTCATGTTGCCATTTCCACAGCAGAGAGCCACTACCACAGCCATGCCTTCTCTGCCACTGTGGACTGGACCCAAGAACAAAATAAAGCTTTGCCCCTCTAAGTTAGTCCTCTGGGATACTGGATCTCAGCAATGGAAACAGTAACTGACAAAGGAAGAAATGATAGAAGAAGGAGACAGTGAGTCAGAGAATGTTGATCTCCACTAGCGATGGCCATATTTGCTATTTCATGGAAAGCGAGGAACTCAGTAATCATGGAGATCCATTTACTGCTCTTCCATTCCCCTGATTACCATAGTAATTGCGTCTAAATGCATTGTAAGCCTTGCAAGACAGTGATACTGTTTGTAGAAATAAAGACCAAAAGCCTTTTATGTATGTCTAGATAGTTCCCATTTATGATGCTGTGATTCCTTCTTGTGGGTTTAAGTTTCCATCTGAGATGACTCCCCATTAGCCTGAAGGGCTCACAGTATAGAGCAGGATAGCTGGTGACTTATTCTTTGTTTTATCTGAAATGTCTTGAGTTCTTTTTTCTTGAAGGAGACTTTTTCACTGGATTTAGGACTCTTGGTTGATAGGGATGTTTTCCCATCACTTCAAAGACACCATACAACCGTCTCCTGGATTACCCATAACTTACATTTTAGTTAAAAAGCTGTGGCCCTTAAAACTGTACGTGTGTGTATGTGTTTGTGTATATACGTGTGTGTGTGTGTGTGTGTGTGCATATCTGTGTTCTTAGCTTATATGGTACTTAATAAATTGCTTTAATCGGGAAATTTGTCTCACTAAATTTTGAGGATTTTCAATAATTCTTTCAAGTCTATTTTCCACTTAATTGACTACTTCCCCTTTGCTAGTGCATTAGACCTTCTCTTCACTCACTACTTCTCTTCTGGTAGTACATGTTGCAGACAGGTATCTTTGGGGCTGCAATCAGGACCAGCCAACAGCCCTGGGTCTATTCCAGAGTGGAGGAGTGTGGATGAGGGAAGGCTAGCTATTGACATTACAGGAAAGCTGGAAACGTAGGAGAGTGTCAGGAGGGCAATTTTCAGTCCATACTGAATGCTCTCAGTTTATCCATGCATCATCTTAAGTAACCAACCAAAGGTGGGGACAATGGCAGAAGACCTCTATTATCGTATATAAAGGGCAAATAGCAATTACTTCCCTGAATCCTAAAGACACTCCATAGTTGCACATACTACTTGGCCATCAGGTGCTCCATAGCCATGCACATCACCTAGCCTTCAGGATGAGTGTAAATTCACCTGGGCCTAAGTCTATTATTATTTAGATAGGAGTCATTCACCACTGAGGCTAGGGCATCCTATAGCCATTAAGCTAATCTCTCAAAGACAGTAGGAGTCTTGAGGCTCTCTGAACTCCTAGCAGGATGGAATAGACTTCTAATATGTGACCCCGATAATTACACTAGACCTCTGAATCTGGCACATGTCCCTAAATATGCACCTTCATTGATTTTTCAAATATTTATCTTTCTTCCACAGAGTGGATAATTACTGTTTGTATGTTTACTAATTCACTATTTTTATAAAGATAGTGTCTCACTTTGTAACCCAGGTTGGCCTTGAACTCATGATCCGACTGCCTAGAGACATGAGTGTGAACCATCATGCCCAGTTCGTTGATTCAGTGTTCTTTCCTACATCATCTTTCCATTTTTCTGTTAAATATTTATGGCAGAACTTGTTTGGGGTTTTGTAGGTTTCTTTTTTAATGTTTAGATAAGTTTTATAGTTTTAGAATTTCTGTTTTTATAAATTTTCTCTTATTATTATTACTTGAGAAGGGGAAGGATGAGGGTGCATAACACACCACGCATGTAGAGGTCTAAGGACAACTTTCAGGAGTCAGCTCTCTCCTTCTACAGTGGATTCAGGAATTGAACTCAGGTCATCAGGCTGCGTGCCAATACTTTAACCCACTGAGCCACCTGGCTAGCCTTATAATTTCCAGTAATAAGAGTTTCTGCTTCTTTGATGAATTTTTTATTGTTTTAATTGGTTACAAGCAGAGTTTCCTTTATGTCTTTGGACCACATATAAGGAGCTACTTTGAAGTCAGATTGTTCTAACACCTGGGAGTTGAATCCCTGATGGTCCCTTCAGAGAGGATCACATTTGTTCAAGTGTTTTCTAGCAATGTTGTGCATTTGTACTCTTTCAGGATGTAGATGCTTTCCTTATGAGCTGTAAAGTGGAAATGGAGTTGTGGTAGTACTAGCTCAGGACTTCATCGACTCCTGTCTGTGGTCCTTTATTTACACACTAAAGCGATATTGTTCTCCAGAGGCAATAAATCTGTCATAGGACCCAGAGGGTTGGTTTCGTGTGGCAGATCCTGGTATTTGGAAAATATGTGGTCGTCTAATTTAAATATTTTTCTTTTTAACCTCAGATTGTATTAAAAATACTACACCTCCACTTTGTATCTGGGTTTTTTTGACACATTATGTTATACAATGTCAGTAACTATAAATAACCTTATGTGCAACCCAGTATTATATCTAAGATGCTTTTTTTTGTTTGTCTCTTAGGAAAAAATGCTGCAAAGGATATAAATTTGTTCTTGGACAGTGTATTCCAGAAGGTATGTAATTTAATAGATGATGTCATCCTCCCTTTTCATGACTAATGACTAGAGTCTACAAAGTTTGGGTGCACATGGAGTGTGTGTTAGGTATATATATATATATATATATATATATATATATATATATATATATATATTATGTATGCCTAGTTATGGGTGTAATCATAATTCTCTTTTTCAGTGATTGGATTCTATGTGGTGTGCTCTGTGTGACTGGCCAACATGCTTAGATTTGGGGCCCATGCTTAGCAAGCTGTAAGCTCTTCTCTGGCGTCCTGTGCACTAATTGTAACATGATCCTCCTCCTGAACTCTCTACCTGCTCTCCAGCATGAAACTTCAAGCCCCTTTAGAGGAATTCCAACAATACTAAACAAATATACAGCCTAGCCCTAAAGTTAGAAGGGTTTCAGGCATGGAGTGATCCTCTGGGCACATGATTCAGAGTAAAGAAATAGCAGGTGGATCACATTGAATGAGATAAACAGATTTTAATGTGCTACTTAATAGGATCTGGAGCAAATTATATTAAACCTTTGTTTTTACAGCTAGGTTTTGGTACCAAGTCTCATAAATGCTTAAAGAATTTTGCCATATAAAAAGTACTCAATCCAGTGGCCGATTCTTATATTACTTATTGCTGATTCTTATAGTACTTGATGAATGGTGACTACTGCTGTAGTTATTGATAGCTCCAGTAGGCACAACGGACGTTTAGTGCAGAGACACACATGAGGAGCACAGAACAAAGCACTGGTAGACAGAGCCAGGTTATCAAAAAGGCTGCCTAGGGCATAGGTAGGAGAGAAATGCTGCGAAATATTCCAAGCCTGGTATTGTCATGGAAGACTGAAGGGCAATGGGTTAGTTTGTTTGGGCTGGGTTGGGGGCAGGGAATGGGGTATACAAAATAGCTTTCTTCACTGTTGCCCTAGAAGCTATGTCTCTCTAGAGGACCAGTATCAAAGACAAGCTAATCCTGTTGCATTATCCTGTGGTGCAAAATGTCTCCATCATCTTGAATTAGGTGACTCCCTCCTGTTTACTACTGTCTTCTGCAGAAGATAAAAGAAATCGCTAAACCATAGATGTAACCATGGGAACCATAGGCTCTTAGGAGACAGATTCACACATGGCTTTCCATATGTCCTGAGGACTCTCCGAACTGAGGAGCTCTGTACTGCTTGATTCTGTGGATGAGAACTAGGTTGGGGGAAAAAAATCATGTAAGTTAGAAGAGTTCATCACACCTCTGATCTTCTCGGTTACCAGCTGTACCATTTACAGCACAGCTTGGCAAATAGCAAAGGAAATTAGGTTTAGGCCTTATGGACTTAAGACCCTAAGCAATGATTTTATTCACCCTAATTAAAACCACATGGACACTATATTGGTATCATTTCTTTAAATGTTAGGTATTAAAGTTTCAAATGCCTTGGCCAAAATCTAGCCTCACTCACCTTAAAGACAACAACACCTATGATTAGTGATACAAAGAACAGCATATTGCCAGGAAAGTAGACCCAAATGTTGCATATAACTAACCCTTCGCCTTATTGTTTTCTGTTAGAATAGGGTTTAATGTTTATTTGTTTTAATCTGAGGGAATAAAGTGATGACTGTTTGTTTTCTTTATTAATGATATCTTTAGTAAAGAGGTTTTTATCACACAAGAATGAAAAGTAAAATCAGGACTGATGGAACAGCCTGTTATCCCTGCACTTGGGAGACAGACAGAAGTTTAAAAGTTTAAAGTCAGGGGCTAGAGAGGTGGCTCAGAGATTAAAAAGTGTGGACTGTTTTTTCAGGGGACTAGAGTTTTGTTCCCAGCAGCCATATGAGGCAGCTCATAATCACCTGCAACTCCAGCTCCAGGGATCTAATCCCTTTTTGACCCCTGTGGGAACCTGAATTTACATGCACATTCCCCATATAGACACACAGGCAGATACATAATTAGAAAACACATAAAATGGAGTCTTCTGTTTTAAAAAAGGGTTCCAGGCAAACCTGAGCTGTAGAGTGGATTCTAAATTTCTCTAGACTACCAGGAGAGACTGTGATTCAAAAACGCAATGGAGAGTGGATAAGGAATGCAAAGTACGCAAACAGGACTTCAGACAAGATTAGACACAGAACTAATCAGTGGTATGTGTGGACAGACGCACATCCATGTAAAAATTGATTTCAATTAAGTTGTTTCCTGTAAGACTAGCTCATGAGAATGTAGAGATGTAAGCCTGAATATCTAGTGAGAGCCATCGGATTCATGTTCTGGTTCAAATCCAAAGGCAAGTTACTAGCAGCATCCTTCTTCCTTCCCAAAGTTGGGTAAGGCTGACCTTCACCATGGAGTATAATCTGCTTTATTCAAAACTGACTAGTTGAAATGTTAATCTCATCTAAATATACACAAAAAAATAAGCTGGACGTGGAAGTCACACCTATAAACCCAGCATTTGGGAGTTGGGGCCAGGAGGATTGCCTCAAGGCACCAAGGCTACAGAGGGAATTTCTGGGCTACAGTGTAAGAAAGATCTGTCTCAAAAACAAAACAACCCACACAGAAACATCTTACAATAAATACTTGACTGGGTTTTTGGACATCTGATTTTCAAGTAACCAGGCCATGACACATGACACAGTGATATGGTGTCAAAATGCAGCCTAACTGTTTCCCTGGGGAAGATGCAATGATAAAAATCTCTCCTTGATATTCTATAATTTAAACACTATGGTGTTAAAATTAACTGTGCTTCAATGCTGTAATATGAAGTTAACACGTCTTATGACCCGCGATATGAAGGGATAAGGATATTTAGGGATATCCATGAGAGAAGAAATGAATAATCAGGACAACCACAGGCCTCATTTCCATCACTCATACCTCTTCTTCATAACCGTCCCCCTCCCCCATCCAGTCCTGTTGCTTTTACCCTAATAAATGTCTTATCTCACGCCTACTCAAGTTCTCATTACATGGTCAGGAGATCCCTACCCTCATTCCTAAAGCAGCTAAAATATTGATCCTACATAGATTGGTATAGTTTTCTGTTGACTTCAGTCTTGGATCATAATGTTAATAACACTAAGACACAACCAAGGGCCACTTACATTCCACACCCACTTGTTTAGCATATGCAGACTAACAAAACAATTTCCACTTAGTGTTTAGAATCAGTTGTCTACGGCCACAGTGACTTCTTTCTTTGGTCGGGGCACAGGCATGAGGAAGCCTGTGCCCTGGCAGGTGCTCAGTGGAAGCACTCTTCTCTTCTTTAGAGGTAGGTAGCATGCTCCATTTGGAGCTGAAGTGGCTAGGCTGGCCCAGCATGAAGCCACGGAAACAGTAGCCCTAAGATCACAGAGAAAATGTGCAAGTTGGGAGGACTGGGCGGGGGGATGCTCAGTAAATGTGGCAGAATTTGTTAGTGCAACAGCTCCTGTGGATTTCTAGGCTGAGATTAACCTTTAAATCAGTCAAATCTGAACAAAGCAGATTATATTCAGGGTGCAGGTCAACCTCATTCAAACCAGGAAGACTTGATAGACAAAGACTAGCCCCCTCTAATGGAGGGAGACCAGTGCCAGCTCATGGGGAAGTATATGTTGGACACTAACTCACAATGCACATGGCCTTGCTTATTTCTTACTGGCTAGCTCTGACTTAAGTAGTTACCCCATAATTGTTAATCTAAGTATGTCTCTTACTGGAGAAGTATCCGGGCTCCTACCTCATGGCGTTACATGTCGACTCTCTCGTGTTTCTCTTTCCCAGAATCCTCCTGGACTCCTAGTCCCTCCTATCTAGATTCCCTATTGGCCAGACAGTGCTTTATTGGCATAAGACTTCCCCAACAAGGGTCTTTCACCAGATAACGTATTTGTGGACTGTGGCCCAGCTAATCTGATTTCCAGAGTTAACCATCCCACAGACAGCAAAAAAGAGATTAGAATTTCTAAGCAAACCTGCTGGTGATGGAAAATGCAGGCATTAAATGTATGGCTGCCTGCCATTTAGTGCAGGGTAGTGAGCCACAGCTTGTGGGTAATCTGGCCACCTGAGTCTGAAATGAGGTTTTGGTGAAACTCCGACACAGCCATCCTCTTAAGTGTACTGCCTGTGCTTCCTTTACTTGGTAGCAGTTAAGGTTGAGTGGCTGCAATAGAGGACTGCACACCCAAGGAAAGGTCTGGTCCTTTCCAGAAACTGCTTGCTGACTCCTATTGTAAGTGGGAACGGGATGATTGGTTGGATTCATTCTGGCTCCGCAGGTGGGATTGAGCATCAGCTGGGGATGAAACCACACTGTTAATTCCAAGGGAACCATCATCCCCTGACAGGTAGGTAAGCAGTAGTAAGAACTAAAAACAAGGGGCCAGACAAGTAGAGAGAGCTTTTCCTACCTCTCTACCCTGCCCCTCACGTGGCATTTAAGCTCACTATGAAAACACTGTGATGTATTAGTATTTTGTTACCAGAGGAGGTAGAAACTTCAAGACCCTGAGATCAAACTGGGGACAGTGGCTCATGCTTGTAATCCTAGCACCAGAGATGCTGGAACAAAACTATCACCCCAAGCTATGGTCAGCCTGGGCCACATAGCAAGACCCCATGTTAAAACAACAAAGTGCAGAGGGTCGCATTGATGTTCAAGTTGGGCAGGTGGGGAAGACAGCTGCTCAATAAAAATGGAAGAACATGTGAGTGAAAGAGAAGAGCTTTGTGGGTATTGATGAGACAAACTAGACTGTGTTGAGTGTCAAGAAAGACTTGGCATTGACAGTGTCACTTGGAAGATTTTCAGCCTCCCTAATGCTGTAACCTTTAATACTGCTCCTCTTATTGTAGGACCCCCATCCGTAAAATTATTTTTGTTGTTACTTCGTAACTGTAATTTTGCTACTGTTATGAATCACAATGTAAATATCTTAGCCAACACCTGTGAAAGGATTGTCCAACCCCAAGTTTGAAAACCACTGCTGTAGACTGTCACC